GGTAATGCTCGTAGACCCGAACTCAAGGTTCGTTGCGTCACGGTACTTGTACGAGCCTTACCGTAGTWCTTGTGAACGTATTCGATCGCAATTGAAAATCTAGAAAACTACATCAAAATATTGATCGAAGATATCTCACCATCCTTGTCGAGATTGTCCATAAAACGTCACCACAAGCTATCCATAAAAGAGAAAGCAATCAGATTCTATCAACAGCCTTCATCGGATCCATTGACTTACCGTCAACGCATTCAATCTCTTCACGTCCATTGGATCAACAATCGATTGAAAAATGCACTTSTGTTCCTCCAAGTTGTGTACATTTATTTTGGTTTTGTTTTTTCGTTTGGAAGTTGTTCTATCATTTTGGCAATCCGGATTTTCACGCWCCCGATATCAATCTAAAGTCTTGAGTTCTTGGTGGCAGCYGACAGATACCAGAATAGATAAACGACTGTTCTTGTCGCTGATCGAACCGGGTACACCTCGAAATAGCCGGTTTCGACCACCATTTACACAAGTAATTTCGGATGTGGACGACACTCTGAAGAGTAGCGGTGGTGTGAATGTTGGGGGAGTTGCTCTGGGGGGGATCGATGTCCAGTATGAACGCGGCGACTTTTACCCTGGTGTCGGCGAATTCATGCTTGGGATGAGCCTCTATGGATTGCCGAAGGAAGACGTCACTTCTCCGGCCAAAATCGCGATACTGACTGCGAGGGCCGAGGAATTCAAGGCTGCGCTAGAAATCAAAGAGGACAGCAAACTGGCAGTAGCGCTGCGAAGCGCAGGGGTGAAAGCAGGCATAGACGGATGGGGGGTACGTGCTTGTGTTCTATTTTTGTGAGTTGCCTCAARTAATAACTCACTTACTATCGCAATTTCATAAAATTTCTTTCTTACGGCGAAAAATCCAAAGATTGGGCCTGTTTTATATGGGAGTGTCGCCGAATGGATCGTTCAAGATCGCAAAGGTCTTCGAAAATTTACTAATTTTGAACGGCTGATACARCAAGATCCCACTGGCATGATATTTCAGGTAAGTTTCATGTTTTGTTTCCAGCGGAAATGCATGAAGTATACAGATATGTTTGCACCCAAAAAAACTTATTTCAATCAATGCCGGAATGATTTCTTTCCCAAAGTATGTTTATGTCGGTGATGTTGGAGAGTTAGACCAAGAGGCAGGTGAAACTATGCTTCGAGAATATCCAGAAGTAGTAAAAGCAGTCTTTCTTCACGTTGTCACCGATCAGGCAGATGTGACACCAATCATACCGGCACCAAAATATATCAATGGACGCCCTCTAGTTTTCTTTCGGACCTACGTCGGAGCTGCAGTAGATGCAGTCCAGCTAGGGATGATGGACTTGCTTGGTTTGAAAGCRGTAGCAGAGGCAGCAATCGAAAAGCTAGCCGGAGTTCCGAAAACCTCAGACAAATGGGAAGATCTCCAAAAAGATTTGGCTCGTGCTAATATTCTGTTTGAAAAAAATAAGGATGAACTGAAGTTTTGGTAACGATGGATTGGCGATGAACTCGCGAAAGATGACATATTTTATCACGATGCATCACAAAGAATTGCGATACTCAGATTTTTTGTGAATCGACTTGAGAAAATGATTTTTGGGGTTATGTCTGTGATGGGTAGGTCCAATAAATCRATGCCCAGTCAAAAATTGGCTAAAATTATCGCGGGGATTTCCCGAGCAGAATATGGAGGAAAATACATMACTCCCTACAATTTTCCACTTGGCGGGATGATTTGGGATGGTGAGAGCTCTACTTTTACTTGCTTGAGAAAAACAAAGTTTGCTCCAGTGCAAAGTAATCAGCATGGGATACTACTAGTACTACATACGCTCGGTAATAAGAAATATCATGATGTTATATTCTCAAGTTCTGGTACCACAATCATACAAGTAGCAGAGGACGAGGAACCGAGAAACAGTAGCATCACTACTAAATGGAACACATTATGGTGTTAATTCCAGGAGCTTTTGCAGCTCAAGAGCCCACCACATCTTTCAGAAGGTGGTGGAACTTCAAACCAATTGTACTAGCAGCTGCAAAGTATTCTCTCATTTGCAGCTGCTGATTGACGGACTGTACCAACCAGACTGGGTAACATAGTACAAGTGCGAATAAATGAGTGACATCTTACGTACCGTACGTACCAGAATTACAGTCAAAACTATTTTAGTTCTTTTACAGTATTTGTTTCAAGGTTCGACTTCCTGTAGATATTATTAAGAATTCCCGTAATCAATTATTTGGCTCATAACCTCTTCAATCGTGACCCGGAATCATCAATCACTTTTCTGTCGAAATATTTCTMATCACGGAATCTCCGACAAAAAACATCTCATGCATAGAAAGTCTCAACCAGTACACAACTCCATCGCTGATAGAAGTAGTCTGAACTATCGGAAGTGTCCATAGCAGCAATTCGGCAGTAATTGGGTGGTCGGRGGTTTATCATAGGAAAACGTCAGTTCACTACGGCAGCGTCAATGGTATCCAATGAGACGAAATCAACAKGTTGTGGGGGAAACGGCCGTGTTGTACGCCGCGGTGTGGATTTGAATAGAGATTCTCAACCAAATCCAACGACGAAAACCAACGAATTAGTTTCGGAACCCACCGTRTATCTTACCCTGGGAGATGGAGATTTTACATACTCTTTGGACCTGACTAGGTATATGGCGTCATCGACAAAAGAGCAGCCTGTGAAACTTATTCTCACTGGTATCGACACATTGGAAACACTGATATCCAAGTACAAAGATTCACCATCCATTCTGGAGGAAATAAAAGTTCAAGGAGAACAAGTCCCTTCACTTGAGCTTTCGATTCGACATGGCGTTAATGCCATTGTGACGAATCCGAAGGGTAAAGAGGAGGCGAAAATGCGGACGCAGGATGCCGCCGATCACGTAGTTTTTCACCACCCCCATCTTGGAACAGAAAACTGCGCTATGCACCAACGATTCCTGGCCCATATGTTCCATTCAGGAACAAATTATTGGATGAAAGAAAATGGTGGACTYTTTCACTTGACCTTGGTGGAAGGCCAGTACCTTCGATGGAAATGTCAGGAACAAGCTGAACGGCATGGGTTGGAGTTGTTGCATCAGACAACTTTCGCTCCTCCACCGGTATCGGATKATACTATCGCAAAAGCAGCAAAAAACAAAGGAAMTGCTTTCAATAACAATAGATATCACTATCGCCGGCACCAAACAGGAAAATCATTCAAAACTCGTCGACCAAACAGCAAGAGCATAACGTATACCTTTGGAAGGATCGTCGACAAGGGCACTTACGTGACAACTCATCTTCCATGGCAACCATTGAATTCCTCTTCACAAGATACAGTTAAGAAAAAATCCGAAACAAAAGAATTGAATCCCCAGTTATCGATGTTATCRTGTCCATTTTGYGACAAAACATTTATGGAAAAGCGGTCTCTCAAATGCCATTTACGCGACAAGCACGCAGATATGGAACATGAGAGGAGTCATMTAGAACCGCCCATCAAGAAGAAAAARCTTGGAACGGGCGACACKTGCACATTAGCAACAACAGAAAAACGGGATATTCCAAYAATCTCATGCACGCATTGCTCAAGGACATTCCAAAGCACCAAGGCATTAGAAGACCACGTACGAGCCAAACACTCAGCTATCAATACCTATATTGCACCAGATTGGGCGATTGCAAAGCAGAAGGAAATCGACACATTAGATAGTGGTTTATTGAAGGGCAAAGCTGATTCTTCAAATGAGGAAGGAATCGACAAYAAATACGACGAATGCCATATATGTGGCCTAAAACTCGTTGGGAAAAATCTGTCCCAACACTTCGAAGACTTTGTTCCCAAGGAAGGAATTGAAACATTTTCGTGCGATTTCTGTTCCAAACCCTTTAGAGAGGAACGGGCAAAATTGCAGCACATGAACTTTTGTAAGAAGCGACCGCAGTGATTTGCTTTTGATACTTATCAGATTACGAATGTATACGAAGTGTATCTATCGCTCGCTTAATTTCATTATGATCATCATACTGCAATTACCATGGTAAAGTCATGATTCTCAACCCAWTGAGGCAAGATTGAACGAAGTGCTATCATAACTYAATCGACCTGAAAGACCAAAACAACTGGTTGTGCCTCATCCCTACACGAAACTCCAAGATGGAAATTAGACGCGCATACTTTTTGCTTTGCTTTGCATGTATGGTTTTTATTCTACAAACGAAATGGTCCACAACTTCTTTCCATCCCATACGCACAATGTTTCGCATTTTTGGGGGACCTTCTCCATGAAGACTAAGTCTGACTGATTTCCAAGTGCCAACCAGCGATTCCAGATATTACACCACAACCAACCATCAGCAATCTAAAGTCCTTTATATTGAAAATTTCTTCGCCCCGCCTCCAATTATTGCACTACGAACATAATTACGAGAGAATTTGATTCATGCATTGGTCTCTTTTCGTCTCTCTAGTTCCCTACAGAGCCGATTACGGAGTACAAGTAACTATGAAAAGAATCAAAATCTGATCATGTATGAAATCATCGTTGATGAGTACCGTACGGAAGTGCCGTATGGTACGTACGTACGTACTCGTACGATACGCTAACGCTAAGTACGTAACTTGTCACAAGTCAGAAGAAATGTCAGTTGGATGGAACAGAGATTCAGAAAAATTCTGAAAACCGTACCTACCGTACATACGTACAGAACGAAACGGTTCGATGCTACAGTACAGTAAACATTAAAAGGCATCGAAGGTCGTCACACCACCGGGCCGGGCGCAGACCCATCTTCC